ATAAACTAGTGGCAGCTAAAACCAGAAAGAGTATTTCTGTCTCCCTTCAAACAAGATAAGGTTGAAAAGCCAAGGCCCAAGTACAGCCAGAAAAACAACAAAGGACACACAAATATGATTTCAAAACGGGCCAGAGTTAATGATTGGGGAATTGCAACTGTCATCTAATCAGTGTAGAAGAGCCCTGGGGAAACTGCAGCGCTGCTAGAACAATTTTAGTGGGCGTTGCAGCATAGTGAGACTGGTGGGCTTTGGCACCAAGGACATCTGGTTTAAATACTAGTACAGTTACATTCTAACAATATGTGTGTAGCCAGGTCTCTTTTTATCTGCCATGTGATAGCAGAAACAATAAGAATTAGTGTCTATTACATAGAAGACTGCTTTGTATACATCATCTTATCTAACTTCTATTGCAATACTGTGCAGATTTTATTATCATCTGTTTTTGAAAGAAAGAACTGAGACTCAAACACGGAGGGCAACTTGTCTTTCAGAATGGGACAAGACTGCTGAAAGGAGGGGACCTGGAACTCACTTCACCTTACCAGACGTCGCACAAAACATATATTTGATTCCTAATGAGTGTGTACATTTAATATCAGCAAAGTAAAAAAATTATCAGCTCTAACATTTCTCAGTTCATTTACATTTCTATTCTCAAGACAGTTCACTCATTTGATTGAGACTTTATAAGAACATGAAGTTTCAGTATGTGAAAACGTTGGCTGAGCCCCAGCCCCTTGTGTGAAAAAATTCATACAAACACAAATGCATTTTTCTTTACTAGTGACCCTATGGGAAGAGAAATAAAACCAGAAGGAAATCAAGTGAATTTACTAGTGACTCTAGTCAACTGTGACCATTAGCTAGGGATCAATGTCCTGAGTCCTTGACCTGGCTTTGTTACAACTACAAGATTATCATCTCCTTACAGACAAGGGCCACCCATGTTATCTCGGTACATCTCTTCCACAATATATTCCAGAGGTCCTATCACACAACGCATGGTAAATAAAGGAATGGAATAAGATATTTTTACTTCTCTGGGCCTTGGCATCTGGAGAAATGGATACAGATCATTGTTTAAGGTCCCTTCCTAAGATAACAACATTACAACAGTCCATTAATATAAAAGGTTCATGGATCAATTCTACTATATAGATACAAGTCTGAAATTGTGCTGTGTCTGTGACTTTCCTTTTATAGCACAAAATTCCAGGTTGCATAGAATTAGCACTTTGTAACTGCTTTTTGATGGTGATGCTTCTTTACATTGATATAGCATTCCCCAGTGTCTAAAGTACTTGTGTGTATTCTCTAATTTTGTCTTCCCATCAGCATAACTATTTAAGAAAATACTATCCTCATTTTCTGTATGTGACTGCATCAAGGCACTCGGCTAATTAATAAATGCTAGGGCCTAAGACTGGGACCCAAAACCAAGAGTATCAATCCAGTGGTCTTTCAACTAAAACACACATCACATCATCAACTTCATCATCATTACCATTATCACATCATTCCCACCATTAAAGCCATCACTACCATCACCATCATCCACCATCACTTTCACCACCATCATCATCACCATTATCATAAAGCTGACCAAAGAGCTAAACTATCCACTTCCAGCCTGGGGCTAAACACAGATCTAGCACAGATGTCATTGTCAAGTATATGCAGTTATATGCAGTTTGTCTTAGTTGCCTTTCCACCTACCCAACTTCCTAATCATTCTCTAAAAGAAAAAAAAATGACTTTTCTAACTCTTTTCCTTCCACAAACCTCTTATTTCACAAACTGCTATTCTCAACTAGATGGTAATAGAGAAAGGAAGCAATCTCCTCAAATTTACTTCCCGAAGAGACAGCAGTTGTGATGACATGCTGAAACCTGCTGGTTCAGGCTTGCAAGAGGAGACTGTAAAATATTCAGAAATTTCAGAGTGCATAGGAAATCAGCGAATGCTACGAAACAGGGTATTGTTTTTTTTTAAGAGAGAAGGCTTAGTCAGTTCACCACTATCACAGTAAACAGCTGACCTAACAAGACCTCTTGCTTTCTAAAATAGGTGTTTGTTAACTAATAAAATCTCAAGCAATAGGCCAATGAATTGGAGAAGCTTCTGCAGTACTGTGGCAATATCTGGATGGAAAAGTGATCTTTTCCAGCATTCTTGAATCACAGAAATGGGTTAAGCTCATCTTGGATCATAATTACCATTTATTTAGTACATATTATACTTTATACACATTTCTCTCACCCAGTCTTCATGGAAGCCCTGCGAGACATTACCTCCCTCGTACAGATGGAGAAATTTGATGATGCAACAAACCTCACTCAGCTAACAAGTATAGCTAGTATTTGAGTTCATCTAGTTTGGGCCACAGTGACTGCACACTTTCCACCCAGAGGTTCTGAACAATCAATGGAATGCTGTTATTGACACGGCTAACAGAAGAGTTAAAGCTTCACTTGAGAATTTTCCCAAAGGTAACTTAAGAAATGCACATGTCTTAGATGACACTGGCACTCTTCTCTGTAGAAGTAGAAGGGTGATTCAGATGACCCTGGGGTCCCTCCTGATCTAGGTTTAAGATGTTCTATCACACAAGCTATGTTCATTACTATCTAACCTGTGGGTTGCATTCTTGAACAAATCTGTGTCCTCCTCAACACTAAAGACTTTTGAGGGCAACTTCTATCTTTTTGACAAATAGACAAAACTTTCATCACAAAGATCAGAGCTCCTCCCACTTCAAACTGCACCCTCTCCCCACTTTTGAAGCAATACTTTTCCTAAGAGAAACCCAGCAAAATTTTTCCATACCAAGTGGAAAACCTAACAAATCAATTTCTCTTCAGAAGGTTATCATGACTGTCCTGTCTCTATTTGCTAATTACTGATGCTCTCCAGGTTGACACAGGAGATTTGTCCATCTGTTTTCCCGGTTTGAACATGAACTAAATTTGTGAAGGCAAGGTTGGAGCAACAGGGTCACTTGTCCCAAGCAACAGATTATAATGCTACACGCCCAATTATTGTATTACTGGAGAGTCTGCTCAGAAGGAAGATAGCTGATCCCAGTACAAACGAACTGAAAGACCAGCAACAGCAGGATAATAAAATAACACTAAGAGCTAACACTTACTGAGCACTTGCTGTGTGCCAGGCGCTCCTTCGAGAATGCTACGCTATTAACTGTTGATTCCAACAAATTAATTCTTTTTAATACACCCCACTGTCCCTCCAGCAAAGTTATCTATGCACAGATAGTAAAGAAACATTTAACCAACTTGACCCCAGCACCACAAACCATGTTCTCTTCAGCTTGGCTTCCCTGACTCATTGCCTGTGCCTCCTGAAAGCCATACAGTTAATGCATTACATCCAAGAGCAGAGTCTAGCCAATAAATACTGTGAATCCAAGTAGTCCAACTCCAAAGCCCACTCTTCCACCACCTACACCAGAGCATACTAGTGAGGAAATTGGGAAACAAGGGGATGAAGTGAATTCATGAAGGTTACAACTGCTAGAAAGCACGGACTCCTAGCATTTCAGGATTAATATAAAACTTAAAGCTATTGAACACAAGCATGCAAATACCACAACAGAATATTTCTTAATATTCTAGAAAGCAAACAAAAACAAATTAATAATTTGGATCAAGTCTCTCAGCATTACATGTCATGGCAAAAGCAAGAAAATCAAGCAATTACAACTTGATCTTAATCCTTAAGTTTAATTCAGGGACTAGACATAGATCACATTCACTCCATAGCATTTCACTGATCATTTGTGAAAAAAAATTGCAAGGCCGCAAATTTAAAATGATTACCTTCTGCTAATAACCAGCGTGAACCATATGGAAAGTGGAAAATCTCAGCAGAAACATTTACTCGAACACAAACTTGGCCAAACACAACCTGCATGTCCCACGTGGGTACCAACGCTTTTGAAAACCAATCTGTGTCCCTGTGATGCCCACTTAACAGGATTCCTCTTCCTTGGGTGTCAGAAGGGAAGGTTTAGAAGCATCAAGGTAGAGCTCAGGACTCTCTCCACCTGCACTCTGACTCAGAGGTGCTTGTAAACAAGATTATTTTCTCCTTTCATTGTGAAAGCTTTGTTTCCTCCCTACCTTAGGAACACTTTCACCAGTCTGAAATTCTCTCTGGAAGTAATGTCAATAATTTAGATAGCAAAGCTTGCATGTGCCCCAGAATTCAGCTAAATGAACTCCATGAGTGGTAATCGAAATGTAAGTAGTTAAATTGGAAGCCCTCAAAAAAGTGAATTAGCTGGATATTCATTGAGACATATCTCCTTCAATTGTACATCAACTAAGTTTCAATTAAAAGAATGCATCTCCTTCAGAGAATGAACTTTCGTGGCTCTGTTGCAGAACAAAGGAACCTATATGTTCAACAAGTGTTCCAGGTGATTCTGATACAGGGAGATGATTCAAAGGCCACTGTGAAGAACATGGATCTATATAAGATCACAGGACTCGAGGGAAGAGCGTCCAAAGGGAGAGAATGTAAAGACATCACAAAAGTATCCGGTACAAGGTGGTGGCTGTAGGTACTGGAAGAGGCAGGCCAAGGAGGGCAGGAAAACAACGGTGGAAGAACTAGTATTTGGAGGAGGGTGAAAACCAAAGATTAACTCTGCCTATCTGAAAAGCCTGCTAAGCTCTGTATATCCAGTGTAAAAGATCATACCCAAGATATTAAAAACAACTCTAGATATGAAACATTCACATGGTGTAGAAAAGAAAGAAAGATGGCGCTAGAAGTAGTCATAATTAAGAGACTCTGGACTCCAAAAAGTGTCCAAAAACAAAAGCATAACTGGTATTTTGAAAACTGCCCATTTTTTCAGTTTACAATATAAGGGATTCGCTTCAGGTAGGGGAAAATCCTCTCCTTATTTTTCCAAGTCATGGGAAACAGGAAAATGCTCTTTCAATCTCTCCCTTTATAAATATCTCACCTTCTATGTTGCCGGATTCCTGATAAAATCAATAGCATGGTCGCCACAAGGATGATGCAGAATATCACACCAAATATAATAATCCAGATGGGCACAGACGGGTCAGTAAGTGGTGCAAGAGTGGAAGGAATCCTTAAAAATTCCAGAGTCTGGTCATTCAAAAAGAAGGCATTGTTGATCCGGTTTCGATTCATTCTAAAATACAAGGATGAAAAAATAAAATAAAATACAAGGATGATTAAACACAAACAAGAGAGAAGAAACATTAGAAACCAAAGGTAGAGCCCTGTGTCCCCGGGATTACCACCCTCTCTATAAACAGAGCATCTCCCAGCAGAAGACTTCAGGTCGAGCCGACAGTGTGATGAGGGCAATCATGCTGTGGTTTTCTGTTCGTAAGTGGTGGTGCTGGCTGCCAGAGAGGTGCCTGTCTATGCACTACTGCCCTCCATTGTCATGATTGTTCTAGAAGTCAGGAAGTCCTGACTTTTGAGCTCTGCCCACCACATTTTATTCCCTGAGAGGCAGCATCTAGATTAAAGTGACGGAACTCTATTTAAGTGGCTTACAGCCTGAAAACACAAACTAATATGTAAAAAGTGGGTGATAAACTTAAGAATAAAAGAAAATCAAGAGCAGACAGAAAGCATGAAGCCAGAAGGAGTGGCAAATCCATCAACTTTATCTTTTTTTCTTTTTTTCCATTCAATTCAACAAACAGTTGCTGAAAACTTACTAAGTACCAGATCCTCTGCTAGGTGCTAGAGATACAAACAGAAAAAAAAAAAAAAATACCCAAGTAGCTTACAGTCTAGAACAACAGCCCATCAGTCCCTCCACAATCACAGTGCAGTACAAAAAGTTCTATGAAAGAGGTAAAAATGGGCACAGTGAGAATACAGCAGAGGTGTCGTCATAGTAAGAAGTCAGAGCTGGTTTCCTGGGAAGACAAGTTTTGAGCTGTGTTTGGAGGGACAAGTAGGAATACTTCAGACCCAGAGTACTCACTTCAGACCTGTAGTGAGCACAGGAATTGGAGACAGGATATATACAGTATGAATTGTTTCGTCAACTGCAAGTAGTTCCATATGACTAAAGTAAACGGTGCTTTAGGAGTCCAAACGTTTAGAAAAACACGAAGGTAAGTCTATTAACGCTCCCTGGGGAAAATCTGCATTTTGGGTGGTGGTAGCAGTCAGGGAGGGGTTGGTAGCAAAAACTTATTTGACCAAAACTAAATTTCTAGCTGGAATTTGCAAATTAGATGTGATTTCTTGGAGGTACTGTATGGCCTTTTCTGAATTTACACTAGACGAGCTGATTTCAACAACCTCTAGAGCAGAACTGTAAGCCAGGATATGTGAACCTTAGGTGATGTCAAATTTTCTAGCAGCTGCATTTAAAAAATAGTAATAGGCAAAACTGATTTTAATATAACATATATTTGCTCAATATATCCAAGAAAATATAATTTTAACATGGAATCAACAGTAAGTTGGTTCACATTTAATTCTGGGCAGAGTCCTTAAAATTCGGTGTATACCTGACAGAGCATATCTCATCTTGGATTAGATACATGTCGAGTTCTTGAGAGCCACGTGTGGCTGCTGAGTTCTGTACTGGACAGCGCACATCTTGAACCTGAGAGTAATAGCTTTAGAATCTCTGCAGACCAGTACCAGGGTGTCAGGAAAGACCACCCATAGCAATTGAAAATCTACAAGGAGGCATGATTACTCGTGTGAAGGAGAATCCTAGCCAGCTAATCTGCAGCACAGGATGATTTCAATGCAATTTTTATCAAACAATGGGATGATTTCTTTTTTTGTAACCTAATTTTGATAACACAAAACTTTCCACAAAATGATGAGCCCCCCTACCAACAGATAACAGTAAAATGAAAAGTTGCTCTGCGTTCCCATTCTGTCTACTTTGTTGCTCAGCAGTCAGGCTGATCAGAAGTTCTAGTTCAATACAAACTATATCTCCACTGAAATCCCCAATAGGCTCAATCACCATGGATACTTTCTAGTCAAATTGGCCTTGAATAAGGCCAGGTCCTCAAAACAGATCAAAAACAGACATCTTAGAACTGATCTTTCATCCTCTCACCTAATTCCATAGGTGTGGATACTCTAGTAAGTAGGGGAAAAACAAATCACTGGATGCAAAGGCAGTGTGCCTGCATTCAAATCGTCATTCTTTATTTCTCTCACATGGTGACCTGGGAAAATCAAACAATCTCCCTGAGCCTCAATTTTCTCATTTATAAGGCAGGGATAATAATAATAACTCAGAAATGACTGGTGTTGACACTAAATGCCAAAGATGCATCAGATTATGGCTCGTGAACCAGAAAATATTAAGCAAGCATTAGGTAGAACTAGTATTATTTTGCCCAATGACATATTAACTGCCTTCTAGGTACCATCTCCTTCTTTTCACTCTGTCCTGCCCTCTTGGTATTGTTTCCTTTAATTTCATACACTCCTGATGAGCCCTATCCATACCCTGATATAATTTCCCATTCTACTGGCCATCATCTCCTAAACAGCCCTTCCTACTGGGGCCTTTGAAACAGACATTTTGTTGTGAACAGATTCATCTCCATCCTCGACCTTCAGCCTAAGCACTTACTCCTCCTCACAATAACTGAAGCCTGGTTTAAGCACAGTGCCCTCATTTTCCTTGGAGTCCTCCCTGATCACCGGGCTTGAATAAAATCCCTTTTCTCACAAAATACAATATTCCTAATTTTTACTCCCTAAGTAGTGGCTCTCAGCAGTATTCTTAGTGGCAAAAGTGCAAAAACAATTTAATTCAAACCTTCTTCTTAAACCATTTTCCATTGGTACAGAGCCTCACTGCCTTCACTTCAGCAAGGGAAACAGATGCTTGTTCGCACAAAAACAATTGGCATTTGATTATAGACATATTGCCTTAAATGCTAACATTTTACGAAGAGCAAGTAAGTTCTTTCACTAGATAAATGAGAAAAATGTGCATTTCAATAACCTGTAAATCCCTTTGTAAGGAGAGTGAACTTTGTTTCAATCTTTCTTTCTCAGGGTCAAGATTATTTGGGGAACTCATTCTTCCAGCTGAGCCACAAAGGAAGCCCGAAATATTTGATAATATTTATTTTTCATTTATATGAGAGACAAGATTTTACATTTTTCCCTCAAAAACTATGTTTTAAAGGTAAGGACTGTACATTAACTCAAGAAGGTAAATCCTTAGAAACCGAAGAATGTGTATATTTTTCTTGATTTCTAAATCAATTTGCCCAACACCAATTATGTGTGGGATTTGAAGTTTTGACACACATAAATTGCATGCTAACTGAAATAAAAACTGCATACTCTGCTTCTGTGCAGAAAGGAATATATTTCACTGTTGAAAGTTTATTCTAATCCCAAGGAGAGGAGGAGGGGATCTGTCAGAAAAAAAATGGTTAAAACTTCATATGGGTGAAAAATATGACTGAGTGTCTCACCAGTCCACCCTTCTGAACAGTTTCTACCTTTTACTGTTTTTGAATTATTTTTCAGATTTGTAAGTTCGAGAAAACTAATATAATGTAAATGATTCTTGTCCACAGAAAATCAGGTGAATTGTTTCTGGTGGAGCACTGCCAATGGATAGACTGGTGTATCTTTTAGTAAATAAGCACCACAAATCTTCAATTGCTGTATTTGCATGCTGCCTTGAAGTCTCCATTAAACTGGTTTAACATCTTACTAGTTCCCTTATTAACTCATAAGATAATAAAATCTTTGATGAAAGTGAAAGTTGCTCAGCGGTATCTGACTCTTTGTGACCCCATGGATATACAGTCCATGGAATTCTCCAGGCCAGAATACTGGAGTGGGTAGCTGTTGCCTCCTTCAAGGGATCTTCCCAACCCAGGAATCAAACCCAGGTTTCTCGCATTGCAGGTGGATTATTTACCACCTGAGCCACCAAGAAAGTCCAAAATTCTTTAAAAACATTTATTGTTCATTTATATAAGAGTCAAGATTTTACCTTTTTTTACCCCAAAAAGTATGTTTTAAAGGTAAGGCCTCTACATTAACTCAAGAAGGTAAGTCCTTGGACACCCAGGAAATGTGAATAGTTTTCTTGACTTCTAAATAAAAGTCAAAGGTATTACTTGCCCCTCGAAATGCTTTGCATTTAATCTACTCAACAATTCCGAGAGGAGCGTACCATAATTAGTTCTGTTTTATAGATGATAAGAAGAAAGCAAAAAGAGGGGAAGTAATTTCTCTGTATTCTAATAGCTATCAAGAGGCAAAACGACTATTCAAAACCTGAGCATTCAGGCTCAACAATGCATGTGATGAACCATCATCACACAATAGTGTTTTACAAGGTGTTCTTGCCAAAAGAAGACAGAATGAAACCTTCTTAGCTAATGTATAAAGCAGAGCTTCTCAACCACAGCACGACTGACACTTGGGGTTGAACTATTCTTTGCTGGGAAGTGCTGTCCTGGACACTAGAGAATGTTAACTAGCATCCCGAACCTCTGCCCAATCCATGCTGGTGGCCTCTGGCCCACCACAGCAAAATCACTGACATCTTAATAAACAAATCATTGTGAAGCAGAGAGAAAAGTCTTCAAAGTCTATGAAAACCACTGAATTAATCAACAAGTTGATTTACTCTGAGAAGGCATACTTAGCAGTGATTACCTGATGGCTGACTGTACCTCAACGGCAGGAAGGGTGTGATTTCTTGAAGGATCAGTAACCACAAACCAGAACGACACCCGCTGGGTTACATTGCAAAGTAAGACGTGGGAAATTCTGCAGATGATGAGAAGAAAAAAAATACATCATAAGCAAAAAATACCAAATTGCATTATAATTCCACTTCAGTGTTATGACCATCTTAAGAGGTGTCTTAGCTATGAATTAACTCATTTCTACTATTATGAAGACATGTCTTGTTATCAATAATATAGGAAATTTCCTTTATTTCCAAATCATAGGCTTGGGGATCACTCTTAAATAAGAAATTTACCAAGAGTAAAACAAACCCAAAAACAAAAGGAATGACTCAGTGGAAGGCAGCAGGAATTGCAACCTCCATCACCTGTTAGCTGACAGCATCCGTTTCCTCAACACTTGACCTGGCCTCCCTGATACTGAAGTCTTTTCTGTTTCCTCATCAAGATCTTTCTAGTATCCCCCTCATTCAGCCTTCTACCTCTCAGAACCAGACAAATCTGCTGATCCGCTACTTGCTGCCTCTGTTGGCCACTGTCTCTGCCCTTCTCTTACTCCAGTATTGGGGTCGGCCCAATAACAGACTTTTGGACAGAGGGGCTCTAATGTTTGCAAGAGGCTTTGAACACTGCTTTTGTAGGTATCAGCTTCCAAGTGTAAACTGGAAATGTGCCTCACGCTACCCTGTATTCCTGGATCATTTCTTCTTTCACAAGAAAGAAATGGCATTGGTGTTTAGATTAGAGACAATCTATATACGAATGGATGAAATGTATGAAGGTAGAAAATTACAGGAGAGTCCACACTAAACCAACATTGTCAGGGTTAAAAAATGAATCCTCAATGATTTTCTCCAGTCCTTAAAAATAAAATTTCCAAAAGTGACATTAGCAACCATTCTAGAAGAAACACACAGCCTCTATGGATACACGGAAATCTACTCTTTTTCCTTAAAAGAGCATTCAAGTGCATTGTGTTCTTTTTTACATAATGAAAGAGAATGTACTTCTGTCAATTTTCTGTAGTTTTCAAGACCTGGTACACATTATGCTTTTGTTGCCTAAACTTGGTCTCTATTCAACCATGCTGAACAGAAACACAGAGAGAGTTTTGGGTGAAGTATAAAAGAATAGCTTTTACTGATTTGCCAGGCAGAGGGGGCCACAGTGGGCTAATGCCCTCAAGATTGTGTGACCCACTCTGCAGGGGGTAGTGAGGAGTTTTATAGTGTTCAAGGAGCAGGGCATGATCACCTCATGAACAATTCTTGGATTGGTGGCATCGAGGTGAAGTTTCAAGCATCATCAATTTTCAAGTTTCAACCAGTCTAGGATGTACATCCTTGTAGTCAGCAGTATTCTTCAAATGGAGGGAGTTGTGCTCTTGCCAGCTCAGTCATTCAGTCCTGTCTGATTCTGGGATCCCATGGACTGCAGCGCACCAGGTTGCTCTGTCCATTGGATTTCCCAGGCAAGAAAGAATACAGGAGCGGTTTGCCATTCCCTCTGCGGGGGGCCTGCCCAATGCAGGGATCCAACCTGGCTTTCCTGCATCTCCTGCATTGGCAAGCAAATTTTTTCTTACCACTGAGACACCCAGGAAGCCCTGAGGGGTGGGGAGTCACCCTCCTGTAAAAACAACTTAGGAATGTGTTTCAGGCCTTTATCTGTATCTTTCAGGGAACTGGGAGTCAACTGATTCTGCTATGTAGCCGAATTACAGTCTAAACTGTTACCAGTTCCCTAGCCCAAAAGCTATTCTTTGCTTCTATATCTTCACATTGCCCAATCATTATCTTTTCAGCCACTCTTTTACTTCAAAAGACAAGAACACAAAAACGTGTACACTGTTTCATTTTTGTCCCTTCAAATATAAAACGCAAGGATTTCAGGCACTCCTAGGCTGATCTGCCCAGAGCCAAGATCCAGAGCCTGCAGCGGAAGCTTGGAGGGACCACTCTGCTCAGAGGGCAGGGGCAGCCGCTGAGGTCCTGCGTCCGGGGGCACAGTCCTAGTGTGCGCAGGACCCTGAGCTCAGAGAACCCCGAGGTGCCAACGCCACACGCGCCAGCCTGTAGCCGGATGCCAACGGTCGCCTGAGACTCTTGCGCTTCACGTCTGCTGACCTCGGTTGCCTAGAAGCCAAAGCAGTGCGAAGATCTGACCCGCCACCCGGCCAGCATGGGCAGCTTCCTGAGCAGGTACCTGGGCTGCTGGCTGGGCACAGCCACGGCCGCGCAGCCCCGCATCCCGCGGCCCGGGCCCTCCCACCTCCTGCCAGGCCAGGACCCAGGCCACGTCCGGTTGGTCCGCCGCGCTCACCGGGCCCGCAGCAGCCGGCAACGGGACGACTCGCCCGCCGTGCACCGCAGGCTGGCCCGCAGGCGCTTTCCCAGCTGGCTGCTCCTCCACCACTACACGGGGCTGCGCTTTTCCCGCCATCGTAAGACTTCCAGGAAGACTCGCCAGTGCAACGGCCGCCAGCAACGCAGCAGACGGAGACAGGTGAACATCCAGACCACCCTCCCTGAGCGCACGGGCAGCATCTATTTGTGTGTGCCCAGACCGGAGCAACCGGATCTCTGTGCCAATGAGACCGGACTGAGGCCCCTCAGTAGATGCCAGAAAGGTAAAAGGAGCTTTGACGAGCCTCAATTCTTTGACTGTCCTGAGACCAAGAGAAGGAGGCAGAGTCCGGAGCCCAGGCTGTCTGCCTTCCAGCCCGTGTGGAGGAATGGAGTGGCCCCTGCCTTTGTGCCCAAGCCAGGGCCTCTGAGGAGCAGCTTCTACCATGGGTGCAACAGCGTCGGAGAAGGACATTGAGCAGCGGCCAGACCTCCCGCCTTGCCTGAGCATTCCCTGTCTGCAGCCCACCCTGCTCCAAGGCCAGCACCCCCCCCCAGCTCTCCCCATCCGCCACCCCCAACCCCCAGGGCAGAGTCACAGAGCGTCCCTGCAGAGATAGGAGCAGACCGGCACTCTGTCCTGGGCCTCCTGCAGCCTGATGTCCCCCTCGCGTCCAGAGAGCCAGGTGCCTGGCCACCACCTCCCCATTAAAGTCCCACCCACAGTTCCTTTTAGCCAGCTGAGAGCCCTGCCCCACCCCTGCCTGAGTCACATATACCGCCAAGCCACCTCCCTCCACCCCAGCCAGCACATCAGCGCAGCGCCAAGCCACCCCTCCACCCTGCAGAGCCCACACTGAGGGGACACCGCTAATTCCCAGCCTTCACTCCTTGCTGCCTTTTCCCCCAAGAAGACCCTTCTCAGGAAGGTGTGCTTTCCCTCTATAACCTTTATAGAGGTTAAAGGTTGTTCTTCTTTTAAATAATAATAAAGTTTCATTATTACTATGAGGATTGTCGTGTCTTCCTTTCAAATATTAGGATTTTATCCACAGTGTGTTTTCTCCACCTTGGTGCTGTTGGGGCCAGACAATTCTCTGTGGGGTGCAGACCTCGGCATCATAGGGTTTTAGCAGAAACCCTGGTATCTCCCCTCTGGGTTTTCCTGGTGGCTCAGTTGGTAAAGAATCTGCCTGCAATGCGGGAGACCTGGGTTCCATTCCTGGGTTTGAAAGATGTGCTGGAGAAAGGAACGGCTACCCACTCCAGTATTCTGGCCTGGAGAATTTCATGGACAGAGGGGCCTGGCAGGCTACAGTCCATGCGGTCGCAAAGAGTCGGACACGACTGAGCGACTTTCACTCACTCTCTGGTGCCTCTCCTCTAGGTGACAGCACATAACCTACTTGGTGAAAATCAGAGCTGTCTCCAGTCGCTGCCGGATACTGCCGAGTGCAGGATGACACTGGTGGAGACTCACTGAGGGACAGTGACCTCTACCGGCAGAACTGTCAAGCCTGGTCTCCCAACTCATGCCTTTTTCAAAGACACAGCTGAACAAAATGAAACGGTGTGTGCTGGCCAATAACATATCCCCCAACTTGTAGACTGCTTGGGGTGCGAATGACTCATGTTTGGGGCCTTATTAACAGGAGACCCCGGTTCGATTCCTGGGTCGGGAAGATCCCCAGAAGGGATGGGCTACCCACATCAGAATTCCTGGGCTTCTCTGGTTGCTAGACGGTAAAGAATCCACCTGCAATGCAGGGGACCTGGGTTCAATCCCTGAATTGGGAAGATCCCCTGGAGGAAGGCATGGCAACCCACTCCAGGTTTCTTGCCTGGAGAATTTCATGGACAGAGGAGCTTGGCAGACTACAGTCCATGCAGTAGCAAAGAGTCGTGCTATGAAGAGAAACAAGGCAGAATAAGGCATGCACACGACTCCATCCACACACTGGGGCCACAAGCGCTTCCTCTGTCCCCATCACCAGGAAACTCCACTGTCCCTTCCCACGAATTCCGATTCTTCATTCAGAGTTTTCACCAGGTGCAACTCTGGCTAAACACAGCACCTCAGCAAATAAAAGGAAAAGCTGTTATCTACTTAGAAATAAAGATTTCCAAATCATTAAAATTGTTCCTATACTCGTTAAAGCCAACATTTCCAATGGAGACAGTTACTGTTACATAGCAAAGGTCCTGGGCCGAAATTCAATACATCAGGCTTTTATTTTGAAGTTTACTACCTGCCCATTGCTAGACTTGAGTCAAGGCATTTCACACTGCATCACTTACTGGAAAGGGACTGGGACTTTTGTGTGTCAGTGAGGGTGCCGTTGACATTTTGAGGGGGAAACTCCTCCTGATGTGCGGCTCTCTTGAGCTCAGCACTGCGTTGATTATCTCTCCTCTCCACTAGCTCAATGCCAAGGCATCTACAGATAGGCATGCCCCCGAGACACGCCGCATTTCCATATGCCACCTGGAGGTGCTATCTGGATGTAGCACGTACAATATGCAGGTGAGAGACAGTAAGAAATCACTTCAAAAGTGACAAGGTCATGAAAAACAAAGCAAGCTGCAGATGGTGTCCTAGAATGGATCAGACTAAAAAGGGGTGCTCCGGGAAAAGAGAAAAAAGGACACAGGTTTCAAAAAAGGGAAATAAAAAAATTCGTAGTTTAATAATATTGAATTCACCTTAATTTCTTAATTTTGATATATCTGTCAT